AGATATACATTGCGTGGCATAACTATGAAATTACCCTAAAATTTTCAATTCTTACAGTATTTCTACAGTAATTATTGAATATTACTAAAAACTAAGTAACCATTTTTTAAATACAGATATTGCAAATGAATATCATAGCTCTAAAAACTTTCCAGAATAATTATATCCGCAAAAATTTTGTTGTCGATGGCCGTGTCACTATATAATCATACCTTATGTGAAGGTGATATGGGTTTCTAACAATAAATACTAATTAATAATAATAGTTCCTGATCGATATACGTGTATAGTTCTTTTTAAGTAATTCTCGTATTTTTTTTTATTAGGTTTTCAATCTAATATGACAAATGGACGCCGCATTAAGTGATTTCAATCACACGCTTTGCATTTTTCTACCTTTATGTAAGAACGTTTCGTGATTCAAACTCATAAGCATTATTCCTCTAACACGAGAGGCAATAATAAAATGCTAACGGTTTATAGCTGTTATTAAACTTTTATTCTTGAGGAGAATTTAAGACGAAATTATTTTTTAGGATGCAAGTAACAATATCAAATGGTATCAGTGTTTTATAGGTTCGAGTCGTTGATTTCACCTTTCACGACTCACTTCTTGTTAGCATTTAATAACTTATTCTTACCTATTTCCAATACTAACGACAGAGTTAATTTATTCATCCACTAACTTAACCACTTATTGATTTATTTATCCGTTTACTTATTTACAGAAAAATTCCTTCAGTACAAATATAACAAGTTAAAATATTCAAAACAAAAGAAGGAATTCGTTAACACGATATATTTACAATAAGAGTGTCAATGGTAAGAATATGAGTAATAATAATAATAATGAAACACCAATTGCTAAATTATTAATCTAACAAATTCTAGTAACTATTTTTAAATAAACTTTGGAACAATTTACGTTTTAGTGGTATCGATGATCGGTAGAAATGTCAACTTTATCATTATAAAATAAGCCATTTATTTGACTCAAATTAAAATGTATTGCACGATGCAAGTTTTCCAAGGTATATTTTGACACGACAATTAAAAGATATTGCTTTTACATCTAATTGTAAGTTCAGTGTTCCCCGAACATTTTAAATAACAGCGTAATTATGAAAAATTGGAGGCTTTTATTTATGTGAAAAACAACATGCAATGAATCAAGTTTTGATTTTAAACTATTCTTTACTAAACTGTTTATACTTTACCAATGGGAGTGTAACTATATTAATTCAGCTTCTAATGTATGTAGGAAGTCTTAGTTTTAAGGAGTACAACGATGCGCGTAGTAGCGAGTGAGACCCCTAGGTAGCGCGGTGGGCATAGGAGAGAGGGCGCCGTTCGTTCTTTTTGTGCTTACGTTGTTCGTTCGTTCGTTGTCGAGAAGAAGTGATTCTTGTAACCGTCCCTCGACGATATCATTTATTTTTGTATCTTCCGTATTTCCGTTTTGTGAATAAACACATTTCTACATGTATATAAACTTCATTGCAAAAGAACAATTTACTGGAATAAAAATAGAAATTGTAGTCCCCTTTCTCAGAATTAAAGTCAACAAAATATTTCACATGTTGGAAATGTATTTATAGTATTTACAAACTTTGAAATACTTTATTTTCGTTATACTGAATTGTTTTTTTCCAATAAAGTTCAAATCAGTCGAAAGCTCATCCAGTACGGTATACTATATTCTTGGCGACAAGGATTTTAAAACCTGGATTCAAGGAAGGGGTCTGGAGATGTTTGCTTACAACTACAAAATTCCGATAACCGTGGCTGTAAAGCCATCAACTTATTCGCGACAATTTTTTCTCGGTGTATGCACTTTGCTAAGTTACGTAACAAGCTATAAAATATATAGACACAACTTCGTCGTATCCTCAATAATTTCCAAGGCGACGCCAGAAGGACGAAACTTCGTAGAGTAGTTTTAACCTCTTTAACTTGGACGGTTGCAGCTACTAAACATGTAGGTCTCTTAATTTTCTCTGATCTGTAAGTCAGCACAGTTTTATGAAATTTGTTGCCAACATTTTTTTTTGCCACGGTCTTCTTATTTTCGCTGAAAAACTTGATTAACTGGAGCTCGACTGAAATAGCGATGGAAATAATTTTTAAGGGTGTCAACCGTTTCGTACAAATCAAACAATTTCGTAGATACTTAAGAGCGAGAGCTCGACATACACGCCAGATTTATGAGCAAAATGAAAGTTTCACGAGAATATTTAACTTGGAATTAAACGCAGACAACGCGAGAATCTTCGAATCTGTTAAGGACTTTAACCGGAACTATTTCAGCTGATAAAGTGGAGTTCATCACGCTTCGTCGAAGACGCATTGCACCGTTTTTGTTCCGCAATGCGATGCACAATTAATTATGTTGAAAATAGACGCCAATTAACAATAGTCGACTGTTTCTCACTTTTCTGTACAAAAATATTCTGGAGGTTTCGATAAGGTGCGATCGATGTAACTTTTGGTACATGAAACTTGATATTAGAAAATATTCTTTTGTGTTCTGTGAAGGCAATACGTATTTAGAGGGAAAGATTGAAATATGTATTGATAGACAGATTATATAATAATTTTCTATACTTAGGTAGTAATTTATTCGTAATTTACAATATGAACAAATTTTCTATACTTTTGAGGCATTGTGAGAGAATTCTGTTTAATATATGCACTTCGATTAATTGATCATTACGATGCAGAGCCTACTAGATAAAGATAACTAGTATTTTAACCATGTCTTGCTTAATACAGAATTATATTATAATTACGTAAGCTTCTTGCATATTAGATTGAGAAATTATCTGTTATGAAGACAATATGTAATACGTACAGTACATATTAGACAAATACTTTTTGCTGTTCCTTGAAATAGGGACTGATGTGAAATTTAGTAACTAATCTGTACAGTAATATTAACAGAAAATCTCTTTTTTCAGTAGTACAGTAAATTCTATGTGATGAAAAGGGGCGGACAAAAATTACACTTTAACAAAATAGAAACAGGTGATAATATAGGTTGTAAATACAAATAACACAATGTAATATTTTGCAGTATATCGTTTTGAATCAATGACTATATATCCCTACCATTTCAAATAATTCACTCCCACTTTTTAACTAAACATACTTAGCGTTTAAATTTCGTTTTAAATAATTTCATTTTTATAATACGATTTAAGTGTCCACTTTGGAATTATAGAAATTTCTGTGTACGGTACATAATTTTTTATATAGCGAGTGCGGTACTGCTAATTAAAAAGATAATTGGGGTATTGTCTAAGTACTTTTTAAACGACAAGAAAATTTGCATACGATTGAAGAAAATTACAGTTTGGTGTTCTTTTCTAAGAAGTTTAATAAGTTCAACATTCAAAATTTGAGAAATATTTTGTTTTAAACTGTAGTATTATTTCACTGAAGAAACATTTAGCATTATTCGACAATTTTTTAAATAAAATTCTTAAATTCGCAACACTGAAGTATACACACACATGCTCATAACAGTGTAAAGGAGAACGTCAAATTGGCATTAATCCATAAAACCAGTTTATCTGGTTCCGAAATAAGATTCATGTGTGTTTATAGAGGTTGAACGTAAAATTCAGATTTACGAAAAACGTAAATCGAGCTGACGTTGTAATTGAACCCCTAGTTCACAGCGTTTGATATCGTTACGTATTATACGAGTTGCCCCGTTTTTATCGTGCAAAGATTGCATCTCTTCACTTATTTACGTTCGTATGCATGCAGTTACGTTAGTAAATATGCACATTTAACGGTGTAAGTGAAGTTGGCCTAATTGAATTTTAATTTTATTATTTCCAGCAAGCAAAATTTAATTAAGACGATAAATTATTGACTAAAGATCTGATGGAGTTGGTAAATTTCATTACAATTAACATTAATATATTCAGTACAGATTTTCGCGTAGAAATATCTTACGAAAAATTTCTTTATATTTCTGTCTGGATAATTAAGATAATGACTATGTACAATTCGAGCGGTCGATCGTAATTTCTTCTTCGAAATTTTCCTGCAGAATGAATGGACGAGAATACGTTTAATTTTTTAGATAACTCCCCGGGAAAAATTCGGGGGATTTAAACGAGGCTCACATTATGCAACGATATCGAGCTTCGCCTGCTAAACTATTTTTTTCTTGCACCTCTGAGATCATTTTTCAAAATATACACCTGACGACTGTTTCCAAATTCAAATATCTTTAACGCGTGAAATTTAATATTCATTTGTTATGATTAGACTGCATATGTTTATGGAAATTCATATCTTCACAGATGACTTTTAGAAAATGTGAGACGAGCAGAAATTGATTATTCTTGTCAGTGATTCTATTAAACTGAAAAAAAAGGAAATGAATTATTTAGTCCACCGTTCTTATAGTCACTGTTTTACTGCATTTTATGTAGTCAGATGTGCTACTAAATAGCCTATAAACATTTGCAGTCTACCTATGATTAAAATTAAATGTAACCACTTTCAACTACGTTTACTTATTGAACTTAATATTTAATAAGACGAAGTTGATAAACTTTGTATCATTTGAACCTTTGGGAATACTTCAGCGAAGACAAGATCTACGGTTTTATAACAATGATAAGTTTTTCTAAAAAGTTGAAACAAAAATTTTAAGACATCTGTATTCCTCAGAATATATTAAAAAATTTACGGCAAAATAAAGTATCAAATTTTTTGCTTAAATATGTGAATGTACAATTTTAGAGTTTATTTAATTGAAATGAAATGTAGCAGGATGGTTTCAATTTGATTACATTATATAATTTTCATATTCATTTAAACTTGAATAGTTATTGAATTTTTAGTGACGTATTTTATAATACTTCAGTTTAAACTGTTGGAAAATATTCTTTTTAAAGAACAGGAATTACAGACTTCGCGAGAATTGAAACAAAAACAACAAGTCTTCCACAATGAATAGAATTTAATTAAACAATACGTACCTTGGAAGTACGATATTAGTTTGCACAACGTAATACCAAAGACGAAGTTCTTCAGAATCTGGCCAAGTAGCGTGAAGGGCATGCAAAAGACACCGAGCAGCAAATCCGAAACTGCCTGGAAATAGAGAAAATAAATTCAAAACTTGGAATTAATTACTGGATTACTAAATTCGTTTGACATCGAGATTAGGTATATTAATAGCGTTTGACGTGGTTTAGTGGAAACGTTTTTATGATATTATGTATTTCGTAAGATAGGAAACCAAATCTGACATAATTAATACCGTGTACATTTCCAAACATGGTAGAATTTATGTCGACTTGACCACTAGACGTGATACAAGTTTCAGTGGCATGTTATAAAATTACTTCTGAGCTGATTGTATTCAGTACAATGACAACTGTACAGGTTTTTTGCAAAGTATATTACGTAATAATTATGTACGAATTAGGATGTAGTTCAGAATAAAGTTAAAAACGAGGCAAATATTTCACCAGCCTCTCGTAAATTACTTTCTTATATGTATACTTTATACACTTGAATATTCTGTAAATACATACAATTCATAGTTTAATTAGCTTTGTGGTCGTTTAAGTATCAGGGAATGGGTACGTTCAATCAAATTCTCGGTAGTCGATCATTTTATTATTCACACGGGTTATATTATTTTTTCATTTTATGATATCATTTTACACGATTGTTTAAGTCGTTTTTGTTCGAAAGAATTTCTTCTGCGAGGGTATACATAAATAACAAGTAGAAAAGTAAAAAAAAAAGAAACACTGTAAGAAATTATACGACTGGTCCTAAAAAAAAAGTAGGACAGAGTTGTAACAGGAAAACGAAGCGTAAGTCGTCAACGTGTCGTCTGACAACAATCGGACTCCCACGGTTTTCAGCAAGCGTACCAACCATACGACTTTAAATATACCACGATTTGCCCTAGAATTAATTTTTGAATTAATAACGTATTCCACAGTTTAGAACCTCCCCCGACAGGCAGGAGTTTTATTGTTCTTGGAAAACAGCCTGATCCAATGAATTAAATGATTGTACTAAAGCTACTTATACATTGGACACATTTATACATGTATATTTATTAAAGATAAGGACGAAAAAAATACATCAAAATGTCAATATAATAAAAGATAATCGTGCTTGTAAATGGGAAAAAACTGAAAATGGTTAATGAAATAATGTTTGATAAAAATGTTGACCAGGCGATGAATAAAGTTCCCGATTTCTGTAATTACAATCTTTCATTCAGAATAACAGATATCTTTTTATTGGCAGTAAAATTAAAAACACAAAATCAGTATGCGTAGCTTGTTACTGCTGCTAATTAAACATTTCACGAAAAATTTATTTTCTTAATCACACGTCAATTTTTACAGCAAAATTTTATCCGATAATTCGAGAGCTAAAATTAACAAGTTCTGTAAGGACACTAACTTTTTTACTATTACAGATTTACAAAGCGTAATCAAAGCATTACAAAACCAGCTTATAATTTCAAAATTAATATTTTTTTATTATAGATACTGAAAGTATTTACGATATATAACGATATATTGTGTAGTTTTGCAATAAAAAAAGCAGTTCTGTTAATAAATTTCATTTATAAAAGTAACGTCAAGTATACCTATTATTAAAAGTGGCCAATTTATTTGCAACGACCTAATACAAGAATTTCCCACTCGCTAATGAGTGCTATATCATTCCTTTCATCAAGAATCACATGAATTATGTGAAGGGAAAAACGTTTGGTTCCGAGCAAACCATTTGAAGAGCTATAAAACACATCGATTATATGTTTTTTGCTGGATGCTCAATATAGTGCACGCGAGACAAACACCGGGACAGCTTATATTTCTGTTCGATATCTGTCCTATCTAGCGAAATCGTATTTTCGCATCACAGAATTTCCGCGGCATGGACACATTTCGACGGAACAGATCACCATTGTCACGCGTATTGTACTGTAAACGAGTTAACGGATGCCAGTCAACTGGAAAATTTGCTTTGCATCAGTGTTACCATAAGATGTGCGATTACGTGTGTAATGCATCGAATTTTTACTTGAATTAGTTCAATGGAATAAAAAATTACGGTAACAAAACTTGTTGCGCCTATATCGTATGATGAAATCACTTTTACTTTGTTACTGTTCAAGTATAAACAACAATTTACATACATGAAGTGGAATTTCGTTTCACGCTGTATTCTGAATATTTTATATACTGAGCTGATGCAAGCCAAGGGAGAAATACAAGAAGGCGACTACGATATAGGGTAATTTTTGTAATTGGACCGAGGTATAGTTCTTTCACATGAAGTTAGAAGACATTGGTAGAGGAAAATATTGCACTGTTTAAGAAGCTCTATCATCCGACTGTATTATTTTTTGCACAAGTATATCGGTGTTCATGTAAACTACGATTGTATGTTGTTTTTTATATGGAACACTACGATTTTTTTGGCATAAATTGATTTCTCGTATCATTCTGCATATAAAAGGTATAAGATAGGGTTACTGAAATCATAATACTTTACTATTATTAGGTTATTTCTACTTAAGCTCATAGTTATGAATTCTATTCGTAGTATGATATTATTTGTTCTTGCAATAATTCAATATAAATTGATAGAAAATTGTGAAATCGATAGTACGCAAACAGTACAGTACAAAGATCAGTGCTAACTGTAAGTAGAAATACTGAATAATAGCCAGACCTGTACCAGTAACACCCCAGAGTATAAGTAAACAATGAGTTTTAAAAGTTGTGTGTTTCCGAAGATAAAGCCGTTTATCAAAAATGTTATTTTATAGTTTTAAATAATTTTTTTTAAATATAGAATCAATAATTTTGTAATGGTTCTCCATGTTTCTTCTGCATTTAATAAATAGTTTAATACTTATGGACGAAGTGTACATACAGATTATGATCACGACGATGAATCCTGGTCATTTCCATTAATTTCGTTATTCATGGACTATTTAACAATTTTATTCGGGAGGACTACCATCGATTTCAAATCTTTTTTCAATGTAAACTTTGAATAAATTCAATATTATACTGTTTCTAGATTCATCAGCAACACCAATAGACTAATAATGCAGCTCATGCTATACAGGGTGTCCTGTAAATCATGATATAAACGAAAAGGAGATGCTGGAGACGTGCAAAAAACAAACTAAAATATCTAGGACAATTTTTTATTAGTAGTATCAAATAATTCATGTTTCATATTTATATTTATTTCGGGAACGTTACTCTTAACACGAAAATCTGGACAGTACATTGAAATGGAGATATCAGTAACTGATATTTGTTATGGCGGTCCAATGGTGCGTTCAATAGGAAATTCAAGCCACCTATGTGAACATACGTGAAATATACACCCCATGTGCACTACCGACCAATGAGATTTCATAATATACAGAGTGTTCCTGTAATAAAGGATTAAATCTTAAGGATATATTTTACTCCTTCTAGTGACAAGCAAATGTCAGGTAAACCTCGATTTATGAGGACTTTACATTTTTCCATTCGTTCAGCGTCGACAAAGTATTTCAACGATTGCATTTTTAAAATTGTTTCTCAGTTGTATAAACAATTCATATCTGATCATTGATATTCCATAGGTTGAACTTTATAATTTTCCTTTTTGAAAATTCATTAAAATTTTCCTCCAAATTAGTTATAAATGAAATCTCAAATACTTACCAATTCGATAAAAATATTAGATTGGTAAGTTAAATACTTGAGTACCTTGTACTCTTCACTGACTACTTGACTGCTTCATTTATGAAATCGAATGAATATTTCTACACAACTTCTGTATTGCTAATGTAAATCCAGTAATATAATACATATTGAAAAAACTCCATAATATTACATAAACTTAAACAACTAAGTTTTTATCACCATATACATAGAAGAATGTTAGGAAAAAGTTGTGTAATTCAGTGACACAAATAATATGATTCTCAATTTTTGTTCGTGAGATTATCCTGTTTCGTATTCTCAGGCTTGTTGACTTTTTGTTTAAATAATAAGAGTTGTTTTGACTATCATATTGTGTTATTGAAATATGTGTAAATGCTGAACTTGGTATGTCGTTTCAAGAATTATTTTTACAAAATCCTAATGTATAGAGTCTCTGTATAACACCCATTAGTCTGGTAAGAAAATCATCGGTACTCTACCAGTCGTAGGCATCGTGACATCGCAATTTTCAAAGAGAAGAAACTCGGCGGAAAAGTTGTTAATCCTCCCCGTTCATTCTCGAGTACGACTTCGTCGGTGTTTTCAAGATGCGCAGACTGTTGATTTGCATTACGAAAGGATTTCAGATTTGCGTGAGAAAATACGGTCAACCAAGTCAGCAATTTCTGTAATATCGCACTCTACAACAAGCAGAAAACTTTGTCCGAATAAGAATTCAATTCATTTAGTCGTGAAATGTTAAGAAATTTCAAACATCTCGTGGTGTCCTCGTCTAAATAAACATTTAGATATTAGAACGCACACACGAAATGAAATCGTGCACCACACAGGGCACTTGTAGGAGCTTGTAAGAAGCAAAACTAAATGCACAATCTATCGTTTACGTTGCTGAAAAGAATTAAGGGTAGCTAACGTGGGCGGTTCTATTCTATGTATATCCAGACCAAGCAAAAACCAAAAACCAAGACAAGTACTGTAGGTTTGCTAAATAAATATTTTTACCCTACACTACGAACACTGTTAACACCTAGCAAAGAGTCAAGTCAGTACAGTAGACTCTAACTATCTTGTCACTAAACATATTGCCACGCGAGGAACTTCCCCTTCACACGTAATTTCTACCACACAACTTCGCTCTCCTACCACGTTGCCTACGCAACAAATAAAAATGTTGAGTACATTTTTTTCATACGATTTTCCACTTTTGCGAAGATCGAATTTGAATGTCCATTGGTTACGTGCGCTATTGAATAGGAGTCCGCCATCGTGTCTGCTCATGACCTATCGTTTCTACTTATTGCGAGCACGAATGCATACATACATATTAGATAAATTTCCAAAGTCGATATTCTTGGAAACTTCCAATATGAATAAATTTGATCCCAGACTATTGACTTTCTTTTGTGCGAGGAATCTACCTTCCGCTTTTATCACAATTTCGGACACACCTTGTTTAATATTACATATCGAATTTAATACTTTATACTATTTATTAATAATAAATATAATTATAGAATATTTATGTGTTCAGAGTGAAACTAATTTGCTTTTGGCTTGGATTTACAATTTGCGAGAACAAACTTCAGTTTATATCACAATCACGAGGAATTCAGAACATTTTTACAATGAACAAAAACGTTCGTCCTCACTGAAAACAATCAAGATCTGAAGCAGAATGCAAAAATTTTCAATCAAAACGACTTTTTCTACAGTGCTCCATACAAAAATATTTATTCTCGCGGTCAATCCTTGAAATTGCAGTCACTCCGACATATTCAATATAAATATTTTCTTCTACCTTGTAAAAAGGAACGCGTACAGTGATTTCAATATATTGCTTTGTGATTCTATAACGCATTTCCGTGACTCAATGCTAATTGGTTTAGCTTCTTGGATATTGAAGAAACCTACCATACGAAGTACCTGCCGCAAAAGTTTAGTATAAACTAAAGAATTTGAAAAATTCTAAATGGTTGAACGGTTTGTTTCGTGAAATGAAAGCGTAAGAAAAACGAGTGTAACGTAAGCCATTATGCAGAAAGTAAAACTACTTTGGTACTAATTAAAATAGACTTTGTAAAAAAAAAAGGAATTCTAACGTTCCTAAAAATAAACACAGCCAAGCGTAATTTACACTCCGTGGCGAGGAATGCTTCCAATTTTCTTTTCTTCTTTCAAAAGGATACACCAGGTGGAAGGTTTGAAATATTCATGGTACTGTGAAAATTCATTGAAATGAAAGTACATTGATCAAATACTCCTTTATTACCTGAGTATACATATATTATTTATGGAACACAAGAAAGTTTTATCTTCAAAAATTAATCCCTTATGCAAAATTTCCGGCTTTATATGAACTGCATTTTTCGTTGCCTTCTTTTCAATTTTGGAGATTCTTACCTACATAATATGTATAAATATACACAGAAGTATATACATATACATACATTCTATTTTTGGATAACAACTTATAAGACCACCATAAATGGTTGCCATTTAAGATTGTCTTATAATTTGTTATCCAAAAATAGAAAGTATGTTTCTAATTTACTATGAAAATATATAGTGTATTAATTTTCTAATTAAAAATAATTCTGTTAAGTGTTCACGTTCTAAATTACCAGGAGTTCTTGACAGATATGGGTATATGGTTTTACGGAAAGATATTTTTGCAATTCTTTTCAACTTCCAAACTGCTGTATTTTGATAATTCTATGCAAATTTCAGTTTTAATATTTTTACTTAAACGTATCAGAATTTGCTTTTGCTTCAGGATATTGCATTTTTTTCAATGTTCAAGATTTGTCACTCAATTGCTTTTTTATATATCGATTTAAAAAAATATGAATCAGTTCCTCATGCTTCGTGTGTTTTAGTGTATCGTGGTTTAAGTTACCTCTGAAATATTATCGGTTCCACAAATGTTTTTTTATTTTCATCGCGCACGTAGTATTCTTCTATGAAGTTTAAGTAATTTAATTTATAAGGTGTGAAAGTTATTGTTAAGTTATTTTATTTATAAGTGTATAAAAATAAAAGTGTATTTTTATTTATAAGGTGTTTTAAATAATATTTGCAGTATGTAAGACAAATATTTTTTAAATTTCTTTCTAATGAAAGTTAATTTTACTTAAAATTACGACTTTTGGCGATTCGAAGAATGTAATTGAATTTAACTAGGTATTGTATAAATGTCTAGGAATTATATTATTATACATAAAGATAATTTGGGATACTCACCTGTGCATATCATTTCAAATAAGCAGCACAAAAAGTAGACATTTTCCAAATCGCCATTACTTTAACAATATTCCCGGGTTAATTGTCCTATTACATTCTCGAACATGACACTCGTAACTTTCGTATCCTTTTTAACATCTAGGCTATTTTTAACGTATAACTTATGTACTTAAAGTAACAATGTACCACAAGTTATCACACCTCGTTGAACTTTTTCGCTTATACGTTCCGCAACTTTTCGTAATATCGTTCATTCGTCACTTTTACGTTGTCATTTTTCTAGTTTCAACAACGAAAAATACCTATGACGTCTATTCGCCATAAAAGTCAAACTCTTTCCGTAGAATATTCCGACGGGCAACTTGAATAAAGTTACACAACTCGAAAATGATAATAATCCCTTGACTAACGACGTTAATCGAATTATTTTTTCACGCGGACCTTTCAAGAGCAGTTTTAATTCTTTACCAAAAGTACGAGTCACTGAAAAAATACATGTCGAATATTTTTCTATGTACCGCATCATCCTAAATTTCATTAAAATCGGCGTGTCATAGTTGGGTGATATTCCCTGTAAGTTCCTTACACAGTAGTTGGTAGAAAGACATACTGTAACTGTGACCCTCTTTATCTTACTTAAGTTGACATTGAGAAATTTGAAAATTCTAGAGTTGCTGGTCTCGGAATTGTTTACGTCAATAATGTAAACAGTAATGAACAACATTGTACTTGCGATCTGCTCGTTGTTGTCGAAGCAAACCAAAGCGTCACATCTTTCAGCTCTTTACTTAACCACTTTGATAGACTCTGTGAAGTTCCATTTGACAAAGAATACGTTGCTATTACGAAGTTTCCACCCCTAAATCGATTACTTTGTCCGCAGAAGCGGTGCTAGGTTTGCACCAAGCCTTACGGACTAATCATCTTTTAAAAATACATTCATGGAGTAACTGTTGGCCAGAAATAGGTATAACAAAAGTGTTATAGGTCCCAAAAATGGGTCAGTTGTGAGGTGATTTGTATCAAGTTTTTCCTTAGCAAAAATGTTATCCGAGGCTTTGTTAACGAGATATTAACGAAAAACCTCCACCAATCAGAGCGGGAGTTTGCCGGCCGAGACAAAAATTCATTATGAAACAATTAATTATTAAAAATATTCAAATAAATATTTGTCAGTATAAATAAATATTCGACAAAGCCTAAAAAAAGTGTGGTTAGAAAAAAAAATAGAAATAAAATTGTCACTCAGGGTAATAAATTGTTAAATTAAGTTGATTTTTACGTGAAAGGTTATTTCACGTAAAATTAATTTATGTTGGTAAGTGTAAGTGACAAAGTGAAAGTACTTTAGAAGCAATCGATCAGAAGTTGATCTATCTATCGCTATTTATACAGGGTGAATCTCTCGCTGCTAGGGTCGAGAGGCAAGCCACCTGTTTGGTCATTTAAGAGTCGCTAGCTACTTCTGCTAGCGACTCTTAAATGACACATAGGCTGCTCAGCAGGGGTAAGCTATCGTTGACACGTTTATAGTCACGGCAGTTAAACGACAAAGCAGCTTGCCTCTCGATCCTAGCAACGAACGATTCACTCTATATTTCAATTGTCTTTCGATGATTGACCCCATTTTTAATTGGTTTCCATGGCGACGCTCGCATTTATTTGTCTCATGACGTTGTTTTGGAAGAAATGTTCCACGAAACCACCTATACCTCGAATTTTATGCATTTATTGAAACTGTTAATGTTCGAGATGACAATGCAACGAAAATATTATTGAAATTCAATGAAACCGATACTTTATTTTGAACATGAAAAGACACTCGATAAAGCGAACGCATTTCTGTTTAGTTTTCATCTCTGTAAATTCGTATAGAAAACTGCGAATTTGCATAAACATTCGAGGGGTACTTGTAATTTTAATACAGATTGTAAAATATTACGATATTCTTTCGCAGAATAGAAATATGTTTACTAAATCGAAATTGTCAAATTTGAATTTTCACGCGGAATAAAATCTGACGGTCGTGGAAAATGTTATCAGCAAACAAAAATAAATTAGCAGACACGGGTAAAGGGTTGACGGAAATGTCAACAGTAAAATTTACTCACCAGATTCAACAAATAAACGTTGGTAACCGTTCTCATCCTCTTGTTGCGCGCCAATGTGATCAAAACCAGCGAATTTCCGACCACTGAGAGTAGAAATATCGTTCCGTATAATGGAATAATTAAAGTTTCCAATAGGTTATCATGACTGGGCTTCGCGTTGGCTGGTAATGTGACATTCGCGACGATCGACGTCATTGTTGACAGTTGCCCTACACTGTTGACATACGATTGATTCGTGTCTAAATTACCCAGGTAATCGAGGGATGGTGATGCGTTACCGGACGTATTGTAACCGAAAAATGACATCTTGGCGACGTCCGTTATTGTATCTCATTCCCTACGTTCACTTCGATGATGGTTTATCAACTGTGTTGACTTGTTATCTTGTGAAGTATCAGCCGATTCAAATTGAACAATTGGTTCATTTATGAATATTTTCATGAAACAAACTCTGGCACGTTGAAATTGTTTAGAAGAATTACATTCTACGCGCTTTTATGCGGTGGCGAACGATGGATTTTATTGTTTCTTCGATGTTTCTAACTTTGAGACTATTTCCATAGAATTCCTCGAAGGATCTGAAAAACAAAAGAAGAACGTAGTGTTAAATTTTGTTCGAGTTTATTATTTTAAATTTATAATTATCTTGAGATATTCGAGCTAATAGACGTGGAATATTTAACAATTGTTCAAATTTTATAACTGTCTACAAAGTGGGTCGCACACGTCGAGACATTATTGAATTATGCTACCATAAAGGAGTAACATGCTGCTGGCAAGCGTTCGTTCATTCGTCAACAATTGTGCCTATTCTTATGAAAGTGGTGTAAGTCAAAAAACCAAAAACATTGCGGTATTTAGACTTATACATCAATATTATGAAAGAATTTTCAAAATGATAAATGCATGACGTACGCCACATTCATAATCACCGGCACCATTGTAAAATAATTTTTATCAAGACGACAAATCACGGTTTTCACTAAACCATCGTATTCGCCAGACTTTATGCCGACGAACTTTTCCTTACTACCAAAGTTTCAAATCGTTACGTAAAGGAAGAGGAACGACTTTACATCTGTCATCCAAGTTGAAATAACCTGAGGCTCCTGAACACTATTCCGGAAGAAGATTTTGACCGAGCGTTTCGAAATCAAACTGTGTATAGAAAAAAAAAACATATACAAACCGTGACAAAAAGATAGGTTCATTAACATTTATTTACCTTACGCTTCTTATGTATCGTAGAGTTCTTTGATTTTGTTTCTGTAGTTGTATTTGACGCCATAATTGTTATATTATTTAACAGAACTAATTTATTTTTAGACATCATTATCTAAAAAAAGCATCATGTGAAATGCTAATATGAAAAATAGATGAATTTTGTCTTGCCTATTACGACGCAATAATATTTTCATCGTACAAAATATATGGGGTGTCTCAGACCGGGTAGTATAACCGGGCAGGAGACCATTCTATGTATAAGAAAAAATAAGTCGAAAATAAAAATAATAACATTATTATCGCATGATGCTTCAATCTTGAAAATTTTTCGCATACAAAGGCAATACAATAGGACTTGGCTAACGCGTCTGTTGCTTGTAGGCCGTTTCTACTTACTGCCAGCGCGAATACACACGTTTCAGATGCATGTTCAAACCCCATTTTTTTGGAAAATAAAACCTCAAAGAAAGAAAATTTATTCTTTTTTTCGACTTATTTTTTCTTATAAAATTATCTCTTGTCTGGTTGTATTACCTGACCAAAGATAGTTTGTATACTGGAATAATGTCATATAAAATAATTGAATTCAACTCTGTTATCATACTCTGTGTATTCACTTGCTGAAACTAATAATTAAGTTTTGATCGCCGTTGGCAGGTCGAATGCCGGTCGCCTGAGACGACTAAGGAAGTCATCGTGTTAATCGTGTTACTAGTGACTTACAGGCCGGGACAAAAAGGTAAAACACATCAGATTTTTCCAACTTTTCCACGCAACGGTATATGTATACTATGTATATCTACATTTTACATCGTATGTATTTCAGGTTCATATATTTAAGGCCATCATTTATATCATGAAACTATATATTTTTCAGTGTTTTTGAAGAAAAATGTTTATTTCTGGGAAATTAAAGATATAGGAGATAATTTTTACCGACTACTGAACATTTTGGCCCTAACGACTTCTCAAGAAATGTAAAAACCGGAATCGAAGTCTCCGATAATATTCTTTAATTATACAATTTGGAAACCTTATTGCATAAAGTAGAAACTTACTTAACAATATGCGCGTGTATCTATCAAATTTTCAATATTCGATCACCTCGCGAATTAACTACAGGGAAAAGATTTTATTTTGCACTTCTGAAATATTTTTGCGTAACGAATTACCACGTTTTTACATGGAACATCATTTGGATCGAACTCTGCATTAGGTTGTTGCAAAGTAAATCTTATTCTTGCATTGTAAAGTTTCATCGACTACAACTTATTTTGAGAAAAAGACTTACCAAAGTAAAATCCATCTTTTTCGTCACAGTTTAATTAAACACTAAATGATTTTACATACATTTATAATTTACGCTGGACGCATATATACGTCGTTCGTCTGCAAAGGGTTAAGATCAATGGAAAATATTTATTATGCTAATGGTCTTATGGGGCTGAAACAAATATCATTGGTTTCACTATTCCAAGCTCTATCACTCTGCTGAACTTCATTAGAAAGCCAGCGTTACACCATAGGACCACTTCGTGTCAGTGCCGAGGAGCCTTCGAACACTCATCCAGGATTTACTATCTCTGTTAATAACTTTTAATAACGTTGAACTGTTGCTGCTTCCATCATTCAGAATAGCTCCCCTCACTTTCAATAACTTTTAATGAATTTTCTGATCGGAATAAAATTTTCCCCGTCGATAAAATAATACGAACCTATAATACCAACTTAAAAGGACGGTCATTACCTTTGCATACACCTAATAATGATATTCAATCAGGGATTTTATTAATCCTTTATATTGGAAATTTGCAAAAATATTTATTTGACTTCTACGGGCTTTAACACTAAAAATACCAAACCCGTAAAAATTACGGATTGCAGATTTCGTATTTTACAATTACTGAAATTATAATAGTCCTTTTAGCGGAATTTGTGTTTGCTTTTAATTTACTATAGATATACATTTTACGTTATAGTCGATTATGTTAGGTTATATTGTATATTACGTATATTACAATATTATACCAATTTAAATTAGTATTCATTTATCTCTACCATCGATGAAATGATAGAAGTCGCTTGTAGCTATAAATTCAATAGAAGTTCCAAAGTTGCAAAGTGGCTTGCTATCTGTAACAGTTCCGAACTTCACATATGTATAATATTTTCAAGGAGACTGCTTCTGACATTTGCATACCAGAAATCGCAACATACTGTTACATGTGATATCACGCAGCAAACCGTACATATATCTGCACATTATGGACACCGCTGTGATAAATGTATTTCGCGAATATGGTACACCTTGCATGGAATGAGTCACGGAATTGTTGGCGGAGGCTACAATGCGATGAATTTATGCAAAATGAATAAACGATGAACCAGCTTTAATATACTGTTATTGCAAACGAAACAATTGCATGCATGGGTGAAATTGTGCATTAATATTATGATCTGTGATCCATCAATTACCACACTTTCTGTAAATAATTCTTTGATTGAATTAATCGATTAATAGAATGGCTGTTACAGTGACAACCTATTCGCGACACTATTGAATTTAATGAGGCAATACTCAATCGTTACAGCAATAAGTAGATCATGGATGTTTATACACAGTGTGTCTCAGCAGTTTCTGAATTGAAGTTAAAACAGCAATTTTTCGTGTGTATTCGCGTTTTTTACCAGCAATTATTGAAAGTTGTTTCCTTCTGAAGTGATACGTTGTTCACTATAATTATACAAACACTGGAAATGGCTCTGTTAATTCTTCTTTAAGATTACGGCAAAAGTAGTCATCGAAGCCCTGTGCATATCAAAACGATTTTAGATTGCCGTTTATAGTGGTTAATCAGAGTGCAACAAAACCTTTGGAACCAAAATGTTTATAAACTTGTGGCTCGAGAAGCCAAAAATTTCGACCGTCATCCTCTTCATCATCTTCAAGAAGAATTATCAGAATCATTTTCAGAATTTCGATAATTATTGTAAACAGTATATTTTTTTTACAAGTTTTCAAACTATTTTAAATATTTAATTATAAACAGCATTAACAATTATTGTACTGAAAACTGATACTTTAGTCTCAGTTTGAAAACTTTCGGGACAGATTATATGAATCCATAGCTTTACATGTAGACTAAATAGCTGACTGTGCCTGCCATTACTTGGGCTTTAGAGGGGGTGGGGTTTAGGGATGATTAGGTGAAATCCCACAGTATTTATTCTAGAGTTTCGAAGAATATTCATGTCAAATTTGGTGCAGACACGTTGAACAGAATAGAAGCCTTTATCTAACAAACATACATTTCTTGACTTTTATGTATACATAGATATTTAGGACAGAAATCTAATGAAAACTTATTTCTTCCATCAAAGGTTTTATGTAAAAATACAAGGAAAGCAATAAAGTAAAATCTTATTGTTTTGCAGATTCAAATCTAATATAAACTAACCAAATTCGCAGTCGGGTAATATAAGCATATAATTTGATTATTTATAATCAGACTTGGGATGTTTATGCATTTGTAATTTCCCTTAACTTGAAAAATACAATAGAGTGAAGATTTTAATAAAGTTCAATACTATTGCTGTGTTATTATTAACGTGGTAAAGTCTCTGATATAAAATTCTAAATTCTGTCCCACTTTAGTTTTTAGATACTGTATCTGAAATCCTGAATTTGCATAAGCTTCCGCGGTTTATTTATAATAAAATCATAGAGGGACATATTTTATCGCGACATTATCTTAGAAATGACAATTTCGTCAATCGATATTATAGCTTCCTGATCTTTAGTCTTCATTTCACTAGTGGAATAAATTATGGCATCCACAGAATACTTGAAAATTTCACAAACTTGCGATGTTTATGTAATTTTCAAAACTGTTGTAATAATTTAAAATAATGAAACTTCTTTTTCGAGTTCTGTCTGCGATCAAACGCAATATTGTATGACTTCTGTTTGCTTCGAGTAAAAGTCGTTATACATTTGCTTTTGAGCGAAACACTATAGTTGCAGAGAAAACGATTTTTTTTGCCGACTATTCTCTGTCTTCCTCTGCACGGCAATTTAATTA